TATATATATATATATATATATATATATATATATATATATATATATATATATATATATATAACTTTTTTATGAGATTACCTTCGACCTTAATTTAGGTCGAAGTAAATCACACCTATAAATCTTATCTTATCCGAAATCTTGTAATGGAAATAAACACAGTTCAACAAATACAGGAATCCGAACCTTTCATAACCAACCAACCAATCTAAAACTAGAAACAAAAACATATATATGTATATATTAAATTGTCAATTTGCAACATTACATTACACTATATAAAAGATCTCCTCTTACCACACACTCTCTCTCTCCTCTCTCTCCATCTCACTCTCCCACCAAACTCTATGGAAACTCAGTCTCCTTCACCGCCATCACCACCGTCGCCGCCGTCACCACCGTCGGCGACGTCGGCGCCGCCGCAGAGCTACGAACTGAAAACCTCATCCATCTCCTACGCGAAACCCCGAGCCGACCTCTCCCACATTTTGCCATTCCTCGTCCCTTTCAAGCAATGCGCGGCAGAGCCACCCACTTACATCCTCCGCAACATCTATCTCACCGCATTTTCCGGCGAGATCCTCGCCGTGGTCGGCCCAAGCGGCGCCGGAAAATCAACCCTACTCGATATCCTCGCCGCGAGAACCTCTCCCACAGCCGGATCCATCCTCCTTAACTCTCTTCCCATAAACCCTTCTTCTTACCGCAAGATCTCTTCTTACGTTCCTCAGTACGACGCCTTCTTCCCTCTCCTCACCGTTTCCGAGACGTTTTTCTTCGCCGCACGTCTCTTGATCACCGACCAAACCCAAGTGTCCGATGTTGTCCGTTCTCTGCTTAAAGAGCTTAACCTTACGCACTTGGCAGATACTAGACTTGGTCAAGGTCTGTCTGGTGGTGAACGTAGAAGGGTTTCTATTGGTTTGAGCCTTCTTCACGATCCGTGTTTTCTTCTTCTGGATGAACCCACTTCGGGTTTGGATAGCAAATCGGCTTTTGACGTTGTTCAGATTCTTAAGACGATAGCTACGTCCAGACAGCGCACTGTGATCTTGTCCATTCACCAACCCAGCTTCAAGATACTGTCTGTTATTGATCGGCTGTTACTTCTGTCCAAAGGAACTGTCATGTACCATGGAAGGATTGATTCTCTTGAAGGTTTCTTGCTCTCCAAGGGATTTACAGTTCCTCCACAGCTGAATTCACTCGAATACGCCATGGAAATACTCAGTGACCTCCACGAGGCCAGCAAAAATGGCGGTATTTCTCTCCCTAGTTCGTCGCCATCAGCAAATGCGACGGACTGTTCGGCTGACCAGTTACCAGAAAATGAGAACCAGAGAGCAAAACAGTGTACTGTTCGGCGTAGACCCTCGAGAATCACAGAGATAAACCTTCTTTCGAGAAGGTTCTGGAAGATCATATACCGTACGAGGCAACTGCTTCTGACCAACACGTTAGAAGCACTTATAGTTGGTCTTGTCTTAGGCACCATATACATCAATATCGGAAGTGGGTTTCAAGGGATCAACAAAAGGTTCGGTCTTTTCGCATTCACGCTCACTTTTCTCCTCTCCTCGACCACGGAAACTCTCCCCATCTTCATCAACGAACGGCCCATTCTTCTACGAGAAACCTCGAGCGGAGTTTACAGGCTCTCGTCTTATCTTCTGGCGAATACCCTCGTCTTCCTGCCCTACTTACTCGTCATTTCCGTCATCTACTCTCTGTCAGTCTATTTTCTCGTCGGCCTCTGCTTTTCATGGCAAGCTTTCGGATACTTTGTGCTGGTCATCTGGGTAATCGTTCTAATGGCGAATTCCTTCGTGCTGTTCCTGAGCTCTCTGGCGCCAAATTACATAGCGGGGACCTCTCTAGTGACAGTTCTCCTGGCGGGTTTCTTCTTGTTCTCGGGGTATTTCATATCGAAAGACAGCCTTCCCAAGTACTGGATCTTCATGTACTTCTTCTCCATGTATAGGTACGCCTTAGACGCGCTGCTGATAAACGAGTACTCGTGTCTGGTATCGAGATGCCTGGTCTGGATGGAGGGAGCTGAAGGGAAGATCTGTCTGGTCACTGGAAGCACCGTGTTGGAGAAGAAAGGCCTTCACGAGAGACAGAGATGGTTCAATGTCTACGTCTTGCTCGGCTTCTTCCTCCTCTACCGTCTGCTGTGTTTTCTTGTTCTTCTCAGAAGAGTTTCGGGTTCCAAGAGATAAATGATGATAGCATCCCACTTTCTTGTTTAATTTTGTTTAACAACTATGCAGAAATAACAAATTGTAAAATAATTATTATCATTGATAATAAGAAAAACTAAATCAACAACATAGTTTTGTTTCGTAGAATATCTAGTTATATAAATACATTAATATGTAAATAATTTAGAATTATATAAACCCTGTATATACAATTTTCTAATAAACATGTAACAGATAATGTGTTAAATTTAAAGATAGCTAAACATTTGAACATCTCAATAATTTCCAATAATGCGATATCGGACAAAGGTATAGTGTAGTGTAGTGTGGTTCATCGGACAGTGACATATGTTTTCGGATGAGTCTGAAGTGAACCTCATTAGAGTGACAAACGTTTTCCGTCCGGTTGTTGGATTTGTTGTTTTTTTTAACCTTATTTTCTAAAAAAAAATATTGTTGTATTCCGTTCTAAATTTGATTAATTGCATTTTAAGAAAACACGTATAATCTATTTTTATAACAAATACAATTTAAATATAATTATATATGATTTAATTGGATTAAATTTTATCTTTTTATCCACTACCGCATCTTGAATTGGCAGAAGCCACGTTGGAACATGGGGGACAAAGTGGTGTTCACGGGTCTCATTCTCCATCTATCCAACCAAAAATACAAAACTCATACTATTATTATTATTATTTAAAGTTAATAGTCATGGATCGCGTGTTTCAAAGAATGTCTTTGTCGTCTTGTTGCATCCCTGTAAGTGTTACATTGTTGTTTCTTCCCTTGGCTTTTAGCCAAGCAATGGTCAAGTGGATGTCTCCTCTATGTTTATATGCACACATGTATATCATACATATATATATATGGGTGTATGTATGTGTGTATTCACGGGCTGAACTTAGGTTGGTCACCCGTGAACTCAAAACTTCTCTTGCTCTCAATGTTTCTTCCATTATTTAACGTATCGATCGGATCGAGGTGGGTGCATGCATGCATCGAGATATGTGTTTGGAGAATCTTACGTATCTTAGAATGCCATGTAAAGCCAATGTCCAAATCCGCAAAAGTCAAAAAGACTCTTGTCTTCGTTTGATCCAATCTTCTGAAACTTTCATTACACTTCTTTCTCTTAGGCGTGATTTTTTCTTTTTCGGATATGTAATGGTACTCTTTTAATCTAGAGGAATTTTGTGTGACCTAATGTATCAAAAGTCTTTATACAGTCACGTATTAGACGAAGCTGTGGATATTTAGGGTTTCGGTATTTATCCAAAGTCGGAAACGCATTTACAGATATGTACATGAAAATCTCATGGATGGACGATGATGCTTTGCAAACGTCGTCGTTTAATCTTCCATGAGTATGCAATATCGCATAAGGCGAGTTATGCGTATATGGAACTTGGTCACGAGGTGGATAAGCATGAAATGGCACAAATGATCATCAAGAAGATTGGGATCAGTTCAGAAATTTACCTGGCTGGGTTCATCTCTGCTGTGCTCCTGAAACTTGCAAACATCTTCTCTCTTATTCTGTAAAACACGGTTTTTAGCAGCGAAATGTACGGAAAACGCAGTTGCCATGAACATGCAAACAAGCGTTTTTGCGACGAGATACCTGAGCCTGTAGCGGTTTCTTGGAATGGGTTGGAATCAAATGGCGGCATTGCTACTGCCCTCTCTCCATTTGAGGGCATTAGATTGTTAGGAACCGAGCCTGTTACTCAGTAACTTTCTTGCTCTTAGCTGTTTGCTTGAAGCAATGGTAAATTCAATAGAACGGGTCCGAGTATTTCCGATCAATAGACCAAGATGGACAAAGGCATAGCACTCGCCCCGTTTGATCCAGCCTTTCTACATTCTTCTGCCAGACTTGTAAAGAGAATCTACAAGCACGAATCCCAGCCAAAGCTCTGTGGAAGTTCATGGGAAAGTACACAACTTCGCCAGCCAAAATGTTAAATCGCTTCAAAAGAGAAGGTTATAGATACCGTGATAATGAAGATGCGAGCTTTCAGAGTGCAATGCACCGCCTGAGGCTGTGATCCGTGTGGTTAAGAACAAAACCCTGTTTAAAGACTGCCATGATTTCATGACCCTTTGCGAAGCGGTTAGTCAGTAGGTCTACAAGTTGTAAGAGATAATAATAACCAGATTCATACCTTTAACAATGGTGAACTAAAATTCTTGCAAAAAAGGGAAATATCATTTGGATAAATCATAGATGAGTAACAAAGATAAGATTTGAAATACCGTATGTGCCATTTTTCAACTCGTAGATTAGATTATTTGCCTTTTAACGTCATACTGGGAACAACTCTAGATCAAGCTAGAGGAAAACAAACAATAACAAGAGAAGAAACCGAGATTTTTTTCCAGCACATACAATGCAGAGCCGGAAAGCTACTCCTTCAACTGTGACTCGGAGCTAGAAGCTGGAATCTCCTTTTGAGAAGTTACAGCTTCAAGGGTCCTGTAGAACTCCTCGGGAAGGGGTCCGGGCCGATGCTGTGGAACATGCTTGGGAATGGGTGCATCATTCTCAATGACTTCACACTCGTAGTCATCAGGAACACCCCAAGGATCCCACTCTGAAAAATCCCAAGAGGAAATATCACGAAACCCGTTATGAAGAGGCTGACAGAAAGCAGTACAATTCCATAGTAAATTAAAAGACCCAAACACTAAACCACCAAAGTTAGCCCGAGGGCATGTTACAACCAATGGATGGATACTCCTGTTGTGTTACTGAGATTCACAGACATTCACAAGGATAACATTCAAACAGTGACTAGTTTCCTTCATGTTTCTTTCTTCTTTCACGACAACCACATTCAAACGGTAACCGGTTTCTCTCAAGTTTCTTGTTGGATCTCCAAAAAGACCTAAACTTTCAAAGCATTTTGATGCAGCCACAGCGTGGAACGCCATCATATATCTTCAGCAATGATTCCACAGATAATGGATCAAAGTTGCAAGTCTTTTCTTTTCAGACAACACGAAATTTCACTGTCCGTAAAGCCTCAAAATTCAAATTCTATTTCACATTTTAAAATTCTCAGCAGCCAATATGAAACCAAATGCTACAATACGATCACAGAAAACCTTTTTTTTTCCTCAAGCATTCTCAGCAACCAAACAAAATCACAAGGCGATGGGTCGAATGAAACGAAGAAGAAGAAGAATGCGGACCTATCATTTTTCCGATGAGAGTGAGCTCATCGCGAGCTTCCTCGATGAGCTCCTCGACCTGGCCACAACCGAGCCGCTTCTCGATCACCTCCCAATCTTTCTCTTCCTGACAAACCTTGAGACGGTGGCGAGTGAAACTTTCAACAGCTTTCCTGTAGCCTTCGTCCTCCGGCACCGCCGTAATCTCCTTTAGGGTTTTGGAGTACAGATCGATCAACACCTCCCTGGCGTTGGGGACCACGTCCAGACCAACGATCCCGGTCGTCTGCTTCACTTTCGCCAACAATGGCCGTCCGATCGCACGGAGGAACATCTCTGCCACCAACGGTCGAAGTACACGATCACTTTCCCTCTCTCTCTACGGACTCCGGCGAAAACTCTGACAGTTTCCAGATGCAAGAAAGGAAATGCGAGCTACAGAAGCAGAGGATGTCAAACATGGCCTAAGCGATTTGGCCCATGAAAGTCTTATTGGGCCGTTATATGGGCCGTAGGTAGTAGACTCATATATACGAAACTAGACCATGAAGACATTACTGTTAGACATCAGTCATGCGCTTTTTTTTTTTTTTTTTTAATTGTCATCCAGGGGAGGATAGGGGACGATCTTTTCCCGGTTGAAGCTAGCAACATGTTGATTACACACCGGAGGTTAGTCTCCCTCTTCTGTTTTCGTCTGCTTCGTTACCCATTAAAAGAAGGTGGTGGAAGAAACCCGTGAAATCTTTTCGGAAGATTTCAATTTCTTCAATGGTTGCAGAAGAATTATGGGTGATCAACAAATACTCCTGAAATTTGCATATCAATCTAATTTGTCGTATGTTGTCTGTTTCTTCCCGGGAGCTACAGCTTTTTTGAGTTAAAGGTGAGACATTTCCCCGTCACTGAGTAAATTTCGTGTCATTTGGGTTCAAGTTTATACGCTAAAATTTGGATGAAATTGTTCAAATCTTTCTTTCTTGAAGTCTTTGCATGCTAATTGGAGGATGTTTGCCTAACCAAATTGTTTCGAATGTCTTTGTTTCAGGCACTTTTTCTCAAATGGGTTTCTTAGATTTGTCGGCTTCTACTCGGCCATGAATTCACTTTCATCAACTCCACAATTCAAAGGGTACATTTTTTTTAATGTTTTAAATCCTTGGTTGAGGAAACCGATAAACTATCTGTTAATGGAACATGATGTAAGTAATTGGGAACAATGATGAGTTTTTTTTATAGAAGAAGATAGTCTTTTGTTTTATCTATTTGTTCATTACAGCTCCAGGCATTGCTTAAGAAGCATCATCACCTCTGTTAAATAGAAGAAGACTGTGCCTTGTGTTCTTTTTTGGATAAAGGGTATTAAAAGAAGAAGACTGTACCAGGTTCATTCTGTTCATTTGATGTAAGTGTTCAGTATAAGATCTTGACAAAAATTGACATATTCTCGGCCAAGACAAGAAACTTTAGTACATGTTTGATCCATTTGTCTGTTGTGTCACTGCTCATATGACCGTGACTTGGTTTAAAACTGTCTTAATACTGCATTTTCTATAACCTGTAGTAGCTTAACTTCTGAAGTATTAAAATACTTCTAAAGGCGTCATTTAAGGAGCCATTTGCTTGTATCTGACCCTTCCTTGATAGATTTTTAATATTCATATCATAGGCGTTGAGGCTGTTCATTTGCTTCTTTAGACAGTCATTATCTGGTGGGATATCATAAAAGGCCTTCTCCTTTTTCTCACCTGCTCCTTCGGCGTCTTCTTTCTTGTATTTCTTCTTAGCCTGCCATCGTTTTTTCTATTGAGTATTACGACATTTGCGGACAATAGTGATTAGAATTATGTGTGAACATCAAGATTGAATCCCATTGGACCGATAGCTATAATGTTATTTCCAGGTCCTGAAATCTGCAATGAGGTACCATGCATGCTACAATGGTGCAAGAAAATCAAACGAGACTTGGCTTGGTTCTAAATAAGTAAATGGTGTCCTAGTTTGGTTCTTCTTGTTGATCCTACAATTTTGATTGTTTTTTTTTTGGATAACCGAGCATCATGGGCCGAAACCCAGACTAATCTCGGTGCCGAGAGCCAGCCATGTGATTTGAATTATACGCTCCCTCCCCAAACTTGAGGTTCGAACTCGAGACGGGACAGACGCTTTGCGCCCCCGTTCCACCGGTTGAACTACCCAAGTTTGGGCTACAATTTTGATTGTTCCTACCATTATTATGTAAATATTTGTGTATATACACAAATATGTAGAAAACCTAAGCTAAATCCTGTGTATACACAAATACTATATTACCCTTATAACCATCTGTACCAATGGATGCTTTCGGTGTAGGTGATGGTGATTCTAGGACATAAACATAGTTTTTTTTTTTTGAAGTTTTGGAAGTTGGTTCTTGGATTTGGGTCTCATGGTGAAGCAGTTGGTATATTATGTCATCCTTTGCTGCTATTTAGTTCATAGTTCTCTCGGTCTCAACACTCATATCAAACAAACATCTGTTTTGTCCTTTGAGCCTTCAAATGATCTAACTTGTCTAAAAACTAAGAACATGGCAGCAAACGATGTACCTTGTTGTGAAACCATGTTCTGGGTTTACCTTATCATATGCGTTGCCCTCGTGTTATTTGCAGGGTTAATGTCAGGACTGACTCTAGGGCTCATGTCCCTTAGTCTTGTCGAGCTCGAGGTCATGATCAAAGCTGGTGAACCCCATGAACGCAGAAACGCTGGTCAGTCTTATTAAGCGCTCTCTCTCTATTACTTTTATTCTTACCTTAAACACCAGTCTTAAAATATTTGTTCAAATTTATCAGAAAAGATTCTGCCACTCGTTAAGAATCAGCATCTTCTTCTGTGCACACTTCTGATAGGCAATGCTATGGCCATGGAGGTAATATGTGGTGCCTAAGTTTCTGTACATACACAACTTGTTTAAGAGTTTGGAGTTGTAGCATTTACCGGTTAGGGGTTCGATGTGTATCAAATCACAAGGCTTTACCGATCTTCGTTGACGCTTTGCTTCCTGCTTGGGGCGCTATCCTGATATCGGTGACTCTCATACTTGCCTTTGGTGAGGTAAAAATGACTTTTCCCATGCAACATGAACGCAAATTTTACTGCGTGTTTCTGATATATTTTTACTTTCTGCAGATTCTACCGCAAGCCGTATGTTCCCGATACGGACTGAGCATCGGGGCAAAACTATCTTTTCTGGTTCGGTTAATTGTCATAGTTCTCTTTCCATTAGCCTATCCAATCAGCAAGGTACTCGGCTAAAGGATCAAACCTTTTTTTTTTTAATCAGCATCAATCAAACCTCTGGTCCATTAACAAGAACAAAAGAAGAACACTGAACATCTAGATTCTGTCATAATTCTATATGTAAACAAGTTGTAGGCTGTGGGAACATTTATATTAAGCTGGATATGCATGTTTAGAGAGATAAACTAGTGCTCTTTGCAAGCCTCCGAATCAAATTCATCAGATTGAGTGATTTGAGATGTTTTCTTGTTCACGAAAGAATAACTCGGATTTTTCTTTCTTTTTTGTGCGGCAGTTGCTGGACTGGCTTCTCGGGAAGCACCAGTCTTCGCTTTTAAGACGAGCGGAGCTCAAAATGTTAGTGCATATGCATGGAAACGAGGTTTTGTTTCAGATCCTCTGTTGTTCCATATGAGAATTAATTAAAGTTGAGATTTCCAACGTTCATCCTAGACACCTAACCCTAAACCCCAAAACCAGGCAGGGAAAGGCGGGGAACTGACTCGCGACGAAACAACAATCATATCAGGAGCTCTGGATATGACCCAGAAGACTGCAAAAGATGCCATGACACCCATTTCTGAGATCTTCTCGCTCGATATAAATACAAAGCTTGATGAGTACGATTTCTTGGAAACTTTCCTGCTTCTGCATGCATAGTTTCTGGCCAAATGTTTGTCTTTATGTTGGTATATTGTTTCTCTTGCTTCGGCTTCTCAGGAAGACGTTGGGATTAATAGCAAGTGAAGGTCATAGTCGTGTGCCTATTTACTCGGGAATCCCTAGAACTATCATCGGATTTATCCTGGTTAGTAATTTACAAGTTCAAGACTCTCGTTTTTGTTCCTATATTGCCTTTACCCTCATGGGTTTCTGCTTATTTTATGGTGAAATAGGTGAAGAACTTGATAAAAATCCGAGCTGAAGACGAGACAACGATCAGAGATATCCCGATCAGGAGAATGCCCCGGTATACGCACTCTCTCTGAAACTAACCCGAGTGGTTTCAGAATTGAGCTGAATCATAGATTCTCCCCTCTTATGGCGTTTACTTGTTCATACTGATTCTGAAATCTGCAAGAACAGGGTGAATACAAATCTCCCTCTTTACGACATACTCAACATATTCCAAACGGGTCGGAGCCACATGGCTGCTGTTGTCGAAGCCAAGAACGTTATCAACGGTCCGTTGGATCACAAGAACGCCAAAGGTACGGACTTTTTTTGGTCAGTTAATACAAAATACAAATCAGTATATCCATGGAGACAAGAATTCGGCTTGTGCCCATTTTTTTTTCTTCTCATTTGTAGGATTAGCTTATAAATCACCACCACAGGCACAGAGAGATGATCAAGTCATTTTGAGCATTCCCGGGACATTTGGTAATGAAGTTTATTGTCAGAGTCCAGTCCAATACATTGACAGCCATGCTGAACAAGATGAGGAACTGGTCGGAATCATAACTCTTGAAGATGTCATGGAAGAACTCATACAGGTTCTTTGTTCATAAAAACAATCTTCATATCAATGAATCTAAACCTGCTCTAGGGTTTATGCTTGCTCGGATTTTTTTTTTTCTGGTATAACCAGTTACGTTATTGTTTGGATCTCGTAGGAGGAAATTTTCGACGAGACTGACAGATACGTCGAGGTTTATAAGAGGTAACTTCTGCTTCTACCATTAAGGTAAAGATAGCAATTTGAACATTTTCCTCATTTTTCCAACCAGACTCACAGTTAAGATGTTACCACCGGAAAAGTCGCCGGAAAAATCCACGTGGATCTCGGATCTTGGCCGGAGAAGCCATCCGCCGTCTCCAATCACACCGCACCACCAAAGTCCACTGTCTTCAAACAGCATAACGCCTACACTTCTCCGGTCACCGGTGAAATCACCGTACCCTAAATCACCGGTGATCCGGCCGAAACTGTATGCTTCTCCTTCACGGTATTCTCCGGCGCTGTGTTCAGACATTGATTGTTCCAGTTCCCTGTCTCCGAACCGGGTAAGATGATCTGTTTTGTCCTCTTGCAGTCTATTGTTACTTGCACCGGAAGTTATCTTTTTTTTTTAGGGTTTGTGAGTTCTACTTTTTTTTTTGTATATATATTTAGGTCTCGAGGACATCTTATGTGAAGCTACCGAGACCAGACGTTTCATAGTTTCTTGTAATAAAATAGAATAATTATCTATATCCAATGCAATTGTTGTATGATTACATGTTCTTAAAATTGCAAGCGTGTGTGTATTCATAATGACAACAAATGTATTATAATCAAAAATAAAAACAAACATTTCTTAAAAATATTATATAAAATATTTATTGCCAATAGGAAAAACAATATTCATCCGAACACTTTTTTACAAAATCACACAAATTTTAGGTTCTTCCTCCACAATTTTGGCATTTGCATAGGGAGGATGATAGTAACAACTTCCGTACGACGAAGGATAGTAATTGAATGGGTAACCCAGAGGGATAACCGGAACGGGAGCCACGTCCGGTTTAGGAGGGCCCGGCTTTGGTTTCGCCCCCGGTTCTTTCACCGGTTCGACCGTATCGATGATGCATGATTTACATATCTTCCTCAATTTAATGGCAATAACCGACACATCGATGTTTCCAATTACCGTCAATCTCTCGTTCTTATCGTCGATTTCAACAGATTTAATCCCTACAC